CCTTTAATACAGTTCCCTCATGTTGTAGCGACCCTTTAATACAGTGCCTCGTGTTGTGGCGAGCTCCAAACATGCAATAATAATCGTTACTTCTTCATAACTTAGGCGACCCCTGTGAAAGGGTTGTTCGACCCAAAAAGGGTCGCGATCCGCAGGGTGAGAACCGCTGTCCGAGAGAAAGACTTTTGGTGCTTTCTTAATATGCTACCCCAAACAGGGAAAATCCACATGTCACGGGACAGTCTAATATTTCAGGGTGTGGTAGATAGACTACATGCAGTGGTGAGACCTAGGCTGCACGCATTCGTGGGAACTAGGCTGCACTCTCTCCTGGGACGTAGGTCGGTGGGGGTTAGGGCCATTTCTAGATGTTTTGGGGTTGTTAAATGCATTAGAAAGCAGGAAAACCCAGTCTTTCCACCCTCTAAAAAGTTGGACTATCCTGTGACGTCGAAAGAATCAGATTTACAAAATACGTATATTAAAGAAGAATGCATTTGTTATTTACAAAAAAAAAAAGTTTTCTCTGTGGCCCTTACAGTGTGACGCCCTGAGCGAATTTAGCTTATACCTAAATCTGGCACTGTCCATGGTTATTGTGGCCCGCCATGGAGCATTTTAAAGTTGGAGTTTTCTCTCGGCTTGCCAGACCTTGACGTCTGCTGCAAGCTTGGGCGGTTGTATGCCTAGTTCATTCGCTGGTTCTCGAACGTTGCGTTATGGTGGGTGCAGACAAGAGCGGACAGAAGCAGAATATTGAAATATGTTAAGTATGTACTTGGTGATCAAATATTTAACCTTACAGCCGCTGCTGACGCCTATACCGGCATTCTGGCTGAGAATAAAATGTATTGAGAATCACTGCAGATTTTCTCTCGAGAGTATGCGAGCGATAGAGCGACACTTGATGGTGTGTGGAGCTGTAACAGGAAGAACAACAAACAAATAACAATCCATTTTGACACCTTTAGGTGCAATGGGCACATGGGAAGAGCACCCATATTTTTACAGACCAATCGGCGCCAGCTTTACTCTCCCAGGACACTTATCGTGGTACCCAGTTTAGGCTTGGTCGACCTGCGGCGCCCCATACTATGATACAAATCCACTTAGCAGTGGGTTTCGATAGCGGTACGTTGGAATTACGAGTCGCCTAAGCCACGGAGGCTGCCGGAAGAACAACAAAGGCAATTACTAACAAACTACAAACATTTACCTGCGCAGAACAGAAGGAATTAAATGATATGATAGAATCACTAACTTAGAGCTCTGCAAAAAGAACTAAAGAATTTCCAATGGACCAAGAGGCGACAAAAAATACGCTGGCGTTAGATAGGACACACGTTGAGAAAACCTGATAAAGTATAACTAGAATGTATTTACACTGGAACCCACAAGGGCGTATAAAAAAGCAAGAAAAAAAAAAAAAAAAAAAACCAACGGAGAATGGAGCTGGAGAGTGAAGTTAAAAATATACCGATGACATGCGGAGAGTTGCATGCGATAGTGAGGGACAGAACGCCCTGGAATGAGTTGGTGGAGGCCTATGCTCCACTGGCGGTTAGATTAGCAGAAGAAGAAGACAGCTATTGTTGACCCCTATACCAGCATTCTGGCTGAGACCAACATGCATCGAGAATCATTTCAGGTTTTCTTTCGAGATTACGCCAGCCATACAGCAATAAAGTAAAACACACAAGAAAATGCTTGCAGAAATATGTTTGCAGTTACAATTTGTTTGCCTAATAACTCTTTGACCAGTCATTTTATACGGGGTCTGAAACTAGAAGCACAATTAAAAGAGATGAAGCCTTGTTACAGGTTTTTAAAAACAGTCTTACAACGAATCTTTAGACCCACCAAAGATGCAAATACAGCGGGAAATGGAGAGTAAGAAGCAACAACGAAATTCATAATCTGTTCAAATCAGCATTCATAACTGGCATCATGAGAGTTAATAGACTGAAATGGTTGGGGCATATTGAGAGAATGTCAAATGAAAGAGAAGTACAAACTATATACGCAAGGGAAATGAATGGTCGTAGACCACGAGGCCGACCAAAAAGATAAAGGGGAGATAATGTCGAGACAGACCCGCAAACACTTGGTGTCACCAACTAGAAAGAGAAGGCCAACCAGAGAGATGAATGGAGGCGGTGGATATTTGCAGCAGTAAACCTTAAGGGCTCGGAATGCTGAACAAGAAGAACTCTTTGAGTGCCAGAAAGTTTAGTAAGAGCTGCCAAACGCCATAAATAACCATTAGAATGAGTCAAGTAGTCGCAAAGAAGTGCAATAGTAGGAAGCCGGATTTGCCAGCATGTTCAGACCAAATGTAGGAAGTAGGAGCAAATATGACCAGCTGGGTGAATCCCATAATTTGTTGAGTTGACCAAAAGAATTAATCCTCTTATATAATTTTTGGGAGAAATGGAGCTCAAGTCCCCGGAGCTGCAGGATTCGGACGCTTCTCCAAGGAGCTTATTTAATGTCGGAATGTTATCTTGGCTTGCAACTGAAGCCTGCCTGACCTTGACCCTCTCCTATTACGTCTGCTTCAGTCTGGTAATCTGGTAATCCTAGTTTCAGCTTCATAGCAAACGGGTCACCCCACACTTGCTCCGCTCCTGTGCCAACGAAAAACAAACGCAGCTCACAGTGTCACGCCATGCACTCAACTCAGAAGCTGGGCGACGTCTGCTTCAGGCTTGGTTGGTTGAAAGCTTACCTCGCTGGTTCTCAAACAAAGGCAATACTTTTATTTAACCGAAGCAAAAA